GAGAGAGAGAGAGAGATGGACATATGAGGGAGGCAAAACAAATATGAATATTACAGAAAAACATTCACTTTGTGTGGATTCTTTCTGCAATGTCTAATAGGCATGAAGAGTGTAAATAACCGGGACAAGGCCGAGCTTTCCAGACTCAGCTCAGGTGTCTTTCCCTTAAGAGTTGTGTGCCAACCTTAATGCAGGACGAGAACTCAGTCCAGGATCAAGCGGAGAGAATAGGTTCCTCTGAAAACAATACTCACATCATGCACATGTGTACATCGTAACATCTGTGGTTGCTGTAAATGTTTCTCCTCATGGCCATGAAGAGATCCCTTCCATACATAGTAACAGAGTGAGAGACGGGGTACAAAATCCACAACACTTGTTTTGTACAAAAAAGTATTCTAAAGCTAGGAGCTAGTATGAGTCTTCCTCAGTCTGAGTTAACCAAGTCAAGTTGGTATCTTCCAAAGTTAAAGTGTTTTTAGTGCATCTCAGGGGGAAATCACAGTCCAAATAACACACAAAGAGGACCTAAAAAGACTCAATCATTGGAGAATATCTGCTTTCACACTGCTCAAGCCTCATATGAGCTCTGACTGAACTTTTTTAATCTGGTTTATAGCGGCGGTGTAAACCCAAAATCAACAGATTTTGCCAAGATTTAATTGCAATAAATAGATCAAAATGATGCAGAAAATACTACATCATGATGCCGATTAGTAAAAAGTCTGAATTCCTACTTCTGAATGATCAGGGCTATGCTAACTTAGTTCATAGTGAAGAACAACTGTTAGCTGGAATCGAGTAACAGACACATATTTCAAAGTTCAAAGTTGAATATTTTGAACTGAAAATGTAGCAAATTTTCCATATTTAGACCAATCATGTCGCCCTGTGTGAATTTGTTTCTATTCGTGTCTTTGCACAGATCTAGTCAGGGCCAGTATGAACAGGAGGTACAACTGCAGCAACCAAAAACAGTTTTACTGTACATGTGGGCATGTAAGTATTATTGTAAGATAGACTATAAAAAATGTGAACCTGTCCTTCATACCTCACTTTGTCCTAACAGGCTGGTTCCCAACATGGGGGTTCTGACCCCCACTAGGGGTCACCAAAGCTTTACAGCCCCCTGCGAGACCTTGATTTTAAGGGTTGAAATAAAAGTTTAAAATATACATATATGTGTATATATAAACAGCAAGTTTATAGCTCAGCATTTCATTAATTTATGTGTTAATTATTATGTAATATGTATTATGTATATTATGTAATATACCTCATCAATATTTACAGGAAATAAAAACAATAAAGAAATCTGCTCAAAATTTATCCAAATCTCTGGTTTTACAGAAACTTCCTGCAGTTCACTGTTTGGGTTCATTGCATAGTTTATCAGCTGTTCTCTACTGTTATTGTTATACTTTGAATATTATATGAAATATCCATAAAATATGTCACTGTCAGTTCACTCAATGATAGAAAAGAGGGTCCCTTAATGAAAACGGTTGGGAACCAGTGTCCTAACACAAGAGCCAGTTGGTTAATGCTACAAAACACAGCCTGTGAAACATGCTTCCACTGAAGTACATCTAGTGCAGTTGCTTGAGAGGGACCACAGCACCATCTCCAATGATCAGCACCAGATGTTATCTGACCCTCAACAAAGTACCTCCACAAACTCTTATCTGATCCCTGCTCATAAAGCTCATACTCCAAATGAGGACCGTCATGGCGTCAACCAATGAAGACTCGTCTGATCTCGAGTGACGTTTTATTCCTGTGCCAAACAATACTTGTGGACAAACTGCCCTGTCTGTCTGTCTTGTCTGTGAACTCCAAAGTCCAGCTCATCCCTGTTGACTAGATTAGATAACCCGGTTTTAAAGGCAGGGACGCTGTTTGCTCAGTGACTCCTCTCTGGCCTAATAGCGTCTGATCTAATGAGAGATTGCAGGCTGCTTGTTGACAGTGGAGAACCACACAGCGTCATGGCAATGGCCAAACAGCACAGGGAAACAAAGCAGGGCTGAGCTTTAGTACCTGTAATTACCAGATAAATATCAGCTTCTTTGCTTGAAACAGGCAGCAATAAATATTATATACTGCCTTAATTACAGCTATTATATTGTCTGTATTGGTTAAATATGAAGGGTTCATGGAGACTGGACTAAAGTGGGTTGTTATCTTTATGTTTTTGGGTTCATTCATTCATTAATTACATGTAGAAAAATACGCTCAGCTCCGAGTTTAATAGGTAGGGTGCCTGTTTATTACAGTAGGTACACCCAGCTAAAGCTAATGCAGTCTTATACAACTATGAACCCTGCCTATATGAAGGTTATAATATTCAGTTTTGCTGAAACAGTTTTAGAGAAGTGTATATGATCACTCTGGACGATCTGTTATTTAGCCTACCCTCGTTAATATAAATGGGGTGGACAAAATAATATAAATAAATACCTGAGATACAGTATCAGCTAACACCTTCGCCACTTTTAGCTCTGTTTTTGGTCTCTACCAACTCTTGAGAAAAATAAATGCTCCACTATGTTCACCAGCTAATAGCTAACTTTATCTGTCCGTCTGCAGCAGCTAGACAAGGACAATAGCTTCTTTTTTTTCTCCTTCTTTTTTAATTTTTTTTTTAGCTTTTTTGCTTCTGAAATTGATGAAAGCTATAAGGGTGACCCAAAACAGTACAGTTGTGGGATGGAAAATCCACACAATGAGCTGAAAATGCTTAAAATACTCCTTAGAGCAGAGGGGAACTGCAGTCAGGCAATAATTCTCTGTAGGCTCATCACTACTAGCAATGCTTTTCACATACACATAGTCATGTGATTCATTGTTGATCCAATGAAATATTGATTACAGCCTCTTTAAATTAGGCCTAAATGACTTAGTACTGGCGAAGTGAATGTGAAACATAATTCAAAGCTTACCTGTTCCCCCCACTGTGCATAAAGTCTTAGTGTGAGCGAGAGGGAGGGTAAGTAGTTCTGTTGCTGGCGTCTCTGGCGCTCTGTTTAAATCATCACTTCCTGTTCTCAATCCCCACGTCTGCTTATCCATCATTTCATAAGCATGCATGTGTATGTGTGTGTG